CTGTTGGAGCGCTAGAGGTTCGAGCCCTAAGCGCTAACACATTGAACATGAGCAGATCGTATGCAGCCACATAGAATAGTAGAATATATTGACACATGCGTGAGGCTCGCCGAGTATAGTCGCGGTCACACCCTTGAAGTCCAGACACGTATGATGGCCAGCGAGGCCGAGAGGTGAGGCAGGAATCAGCAGAGGAGTCAGGAAAGTTTCGATCTGGACCGATCGCGCTGACCTAAACACAGCATAGATAGCCCGTCTCATCCTAACATAACAGTCCACACATACAAGAAGAGATAAGAACGCAGGCTGTGAGCGGCGAGGAGCGAAGCGTGCTGTTACGAGGAGCGCCGCTACATTGGAGCTGAGCAGAAGAGAGAATGCAGTGACGGGACGGCGGAGCTGTGCAGTGAGCCACACCGCACTGCAGGCCAACCACATGGCTACTCAGCACTGGAGCCCTAATTCCGTACGCTGCGACAGGTGCATAAGCCGAGACGCTCTCAAAAATAAGATATAAAGAATAAAAAAGATAGAATTAGAATTCTTGGAGCTAGTACGGAGACCAGAAACCACAGGACAATACAACTTGGAGTCAGCAAGAATGGAATCTTTTAGCTGTGGGTGGAAGAAGGTCTCTGTCACCAAACGATGGCAGTGCACGATCTCGGTCACTCAACGCCACTCCTATAAGCGAGGTGCTCTCCGCGAGACCAAGAGCTGGAGACAGGGCACAGCACCCCCGCTAGGAAGACGCAGTGGCATCAGGGTGCCACTGGCTCAAAGCCCTACCTGATACCAACCTGCGCGCCGTAGAAGCAAAGCGAGCAACGCTTCAAGTTACAATGAGGTTAAGTCACTCTGCACGCCTGCGAGCAGGTAGATACGCTCCATCTGGGTCGCAAATAGTGCCAGCCAAAACCCTTAGAACTGTCGCAGGAAACTTACACAGTGAACAGTCTTGCGAGGGTGGTCCCATGGTGGAGGGGAGGAGACAAGATAAGTCACCTAGCGATCAGTTGTGGGTATGTAGTGGACAAGGGTGATAGCAACCCATACATGAAGAGGGAGATACCAGCGGGCTAATAAAAGACTGCAAGACTATTAGCGAGTGACCCCACTTGAGCCGTGCAGAAGGGCAACAGCGTCCTAAGGAAGACCCAAGCGAGGCATGACGCGAGCAGCCCACAGACTTCACCATGTAGCCCAAGCCCTCCCAAAGTCTTACTATAACTGCCAAAACGCGAAAGCAACATTAAGAGTGGGATAGCCAATAGCCCTCTACTCTGCGTAATCCTTCTGCTCCAAAGTCTAAACATCATTGTATATTGTGATGATCATGACAATTTCAATGTGAGTGGTAGCAAGTGGATATAGCGACACAAGTACTATTAATTGATTGGTATTCCCTCATCTCTGGCAACATGGTTCCGTCCACCTCAGAACAAACGTTTTTG